CCGCCGCTACAACCCTCGGCGCCGGGCAGAGCCGGGATGGGGGCCCCGGGGCTGGAGGAAACGGCCACTCAGGGAGGTCAGAGGTCAAGGGAGAGAGGCCGGCTCTCCTGGGAAAGTATTTCCTTTGTATTTATTTATGAGTGTGGTGTGGGGGTAGGAGGACTGACCTAAGAATCTATCCGCCACAGCCAAGTCTGGGCACCCTTGTCTTGGGACTCTAACGTTATAGTTTCCATTTCCTGGGTTTTTTTTTTCTTTCTTTCTTTCTTTCTTTTGCTAGCTGCAGGGTGACCCATTTAAATGTGTCCCCACTTACAGCCACAAGACAGCAGTGAGCTCTATTTTAACTAAGTCCCCTAAGCCACCGAAACTTTTTCAAGACATGAAGGCAATCCTTAAACTGACTATTACCGTGTTTGCAGCTTTACTGTTAGTGGATTACCTACTAGTTTGTCCAGACATTTATTTTAGTCTGGAAAAATGTTGAATCATTAGGTAGAAAGCTAAAGCGTTACTAAAGTGTTACCCTTCTTCTCCCCTACTCTCCAGAGATGACCACTGATCAATTTTTTGATAGAATTTTTCCAGACTTGCTGCTTTTTTTGAGGAGTCTTGCTCTGTTGCCGGGGCTGGAGTGCAGTGGCCTGATCTCGGCTCACTGCAAACTCCGCCTCCCGGGTTCAGGCGATTCTCTGCCTCAGCCTCCCGTGTAGCTGGGATTACAGGCACCCACCACCACGCCCGGCTACTTTTTTGTATTTTTAGTGGAGACGGGGTTTCACCATCTTGGCCAGGCTGGTCTTGAACTCCTGACCTCATCATCCACCTGCCTCGTCCTCCCAAAGTGCTGGGATTACAGGCATGAGCCACCGCGCCTGGCCAGACTGCTTTTTAAAAGCTTATTATATTTAAAAAAAAAAAAAAGCTTATTATATATATTTTAGGCATTATGTATGTTTATAGTTTAATATATGTTATATAAAATATCATCTTATATAACTATTTTAAAATTTCCTGTAGGAGGCCAGACGCAGTGGCTCACACCTGTAATCCCAGGACTTTGGGAGGCCGAGATAGGCAGTTCGCTTGAGCCCAGGAATTTGAGACCAGGCTGGGCAACATGGAGAGACCCTGTCTCTACAAAAAATACAAAAATTAGCTGGGTGTGGTGGGGCATGCCTGTAGTCTCGGCTACTCAGGAGGCTGAAGTGGGAAGGATGGCTTGAGCCCCAGGAGGTTAAGGCTGCAGTGAACTGAGATTGCACGACCACACTCTAGCCTGGAGGACACAGTGAGACCCTGTCTCAAAAAAAAAAAAAAAAGAGATGAAAGAAAGGTAGAAGAAAAATGATAGATAATCCGACTCCCTAAAGCTCCTAGGTGTAAGCAAATACACATTTACCCCATGAATGTTCTTATAAAAAATTAAAATATAGCCTGGACGTGGTGGCCCATGCCTATAATCCCAGCACTTTAGAGGCCAAGGTGTGTGGACTGCTTGAAGCCAGGAGTTCAAGATCAGCCTGACCAACATGGTGAGACCCCATCTCTATTATTTAAAAAAAGAAAAAAAAATTAAAATACGGATGAAACACAAGTCTATTTGACCCGTCTAAAATTCCAGTCTCCTCCCCAGAGCATACGTTTTTCCTACACATACGTAAATATTGTGCAAATGTACATGTAATATAGGTTTTTAAATTTTAGCAAAATTATAAACTATCCTGCAACCTGTTTTTTCACTTAACAATATAGTATAGAATATTTCCAGGTCAGTGTATACAAATCTACTTCATTCTTTTTACTTTTAATTATATAACTGCTCAGTTGTATAATTTAGCTTTTTTTTTTTTTTTGAGATGGAGTCTCGCCCTCTCGTGCAGGCTGGAGTGCAATGGCATGATCTTGGCTCACTGCAACCTCCACCTCCTGGATTCAAGTGATTCTTCTGCCTCAGCCTCCTGAGTAGCTGGGATTACAGGTGTGCCACTACACTGGCAAATTTTTGTGTTTTTAGTAAAGATGGGGTTTCACCATGTTGGCCAGGCTGGTCTCGAACTCCTGACCTCAAGTGATCCACCTGCCTCAGCCTCCCAAAATGTTGGGATTATAGGTGTGAGCCACCATGCCCAGCCTTTTTTTTTTTTTTTTTTTTTTTGAGACATAATCTCCCTCTACCCAGGCTGGAGCACAGTAGCATGAATCTTGGCTCATGCAGCCTTGACCTCCTAGGCTCAAGTGATATTCTCCCACGTCAACCTCCCAAGTAGCTGGTATTACAGGTGTGCACCACTGCTTAGCTACTTTTTAAAAAAAAATTTGTGGAGTCAGAGTCCCACTGTGTTGTCCAGGCTGGTCTCAAACTCCTGGGCTCAAGCAGTCCTCCTGCCTTGGCCTCCCAAAGTGCTGGAATTGGAGGCCTGAGCCACTGCACCTGGCCAGTTTTACTATTCTCTAGTAAGGACTTTTATATTTATAGACTTGCTATTATAAACAATGCTGCAAGGATTAGCCGTGTGTATTATGTGAATGTACCTATAGATGTCTTATAATGGAATTGCCCAAAGAATATGTACATAAATATTTTCATATGCCAGGTGCAGTGGTGGTGCCTGTAATCCTAGCTACTCAGGAGGCTGAGGCAGGAGGATTGCTTGGGGCCAGGAGTTTGAGACCAGCCTGGACAGAATAGCAAGACCCTGTGTCTAAAACAATTTTTAAAAAGTTAGCCAGTAATGGTGGCACACACCTGTAGTCCCAGCTACTGAGGAGGCTGAGACAGGGGGATCACTTGAGCCCAGGAGTTCAAGGCTGCAGTGATCTATGATTGAGCCACCAAACTCCAGCCTGGGTGACAAAGCAAGACCTTGTCTCTTAAAAAAAATTTTTTTTTTCATAGATACCACTAACTTGACCTCTGAAAATATATTAGTTGGTGCAAAAGTAATTGAGGTTTTTGCCATTAAAAGTTAACGGCAAAAACCACAATTACTTTTGCACCAACCTACCAGTTTGTGTTTCCACCAAGACTTATGAGACTCCCTGCATCCCATGCCCTAATTGATTGATGTTATCAACCTTCATAGTTTTTACTAAACTGCTAATTGAAAATAGTATACCTCAATTTCACATGTCTGTGAATATTGTGGAGGCTGAATACCTGTTCATGTTTGTTGGCCATTTGTATTTCTGTCCCTACAAATTGCCTGTCCATAGTATCCTTGGCACTAGCTACGTGGGCCCTCTGGACTCAAGTCAGTGTGATCCAGCTTGGCCTTGTGCTTATCAAGTTACCTTCACTTCTTTGGACTTTACTTTCCGTGTACAAAGGTTTTGACTTATTTTAGTCATACTTGTGCTGATGGTCATTTGTGCACCCTGTTATCCTCTCTGCTGTCCCATTTAGATGGCAAAAAATGTGCCCTGCTACTATTAGGTACCTCTCTGAGGGTAATTAAATGTATTTCATTTAATTCTGCCACCTTTAGGTGGTAGGTACCATTATTAGCTGCATTTTACAGATGAGGAAATGGAGGCATGGAGGCCTTAAGTGACTTGCCTGAGATTGCATAGCTATTTACTCAGATTTTTTTTCATTTGTATTTAATTTTTTTTTTTAGACGGAGTCTTGTTCTATTGCCCAGGCTGGAGTGCAGTGGCGTGATCTCAGCTCACTGCAACCTCTGCCTCCCAGGTTCCAGCGATTCTCCTGCCTCAGCTTCCTGAGTAGCTGGGATTACAGGTGCATGCCACCATGCCCAGCTACTTTTAGTAGAGATGAGGTTTCACCATGTTGACCAGGCTGCTTTCGAACACCTGATCTCAGGTGATCTGCCCTCCTCGGCCTCCCAAAGTGCTAGGATTACAGGCATGAGCCATCGCTCCCAGCCCTATTTACTCAGATTTGTTCACAGGTTTGTTACTTGATATGCAAAGCCTGAGATCTGACACTGGGCTTATTTATCTTTATGTTGCTTGCCTTTAGGAAGTGACTGATAGATACATATTTTTTCCCAAAATTTTATCACAATGACCTGCAAACATTCAGAAAAGTTAAAGAATTTTGCAATTAATACTCTTCATCTCCTAGATTCTACAATTAACATTTTCCTATCCTTGCTTTTACATATCTTTATCCCTTGGTCCATCCATCAGGCTATGTTTTTTTTTGTTTTTTTTTTTTTTTGAGACAGGGTCTCACTCTGTTACCCAGGCTGGAATGCTATGGCATGATTGTGGCTCACTGTAGCCTCGACCTCCCAGGCTCAGGTGATCTTCCCACCTTAGCCTCCCAAGTAGTTCCCACAGGCAGGCACCACCACATCCAGATACTTTTTTGTATTTTGAGTAGAGATAGGGCTTTGCCATGTTGCCCAGGCTTGTCTCCAACTCCTGAGCTCAAGCAATCTGCCCATCTCGGCCTCCCAAAGTGTTGGGATTATAGGTGTGAGCCACCTTGCCCAACCTCATCAAGCTGTCTTAAAATTTTATGCATTTCAAAGTAAAATGTAGACATCAGTATATTTCGCCCCAAATACTTTAACATATATATCATTCACTAGAGTTCAATATTTATTTATAGTTCTTTTGAGTGAATATTTACAAACAATGAATGCACAAATCTTTTTTTTTTCTTTTTTTTTTTTTTGAGACGGAGTCTCGCTCTGTCTCCCAGATTAGAGTGCAGTGGCGCGATCTTGGCTCACTGCAACCTACGCCTCCTAGGTTCAAGCGATTCTCCTGCCTCAGCCGTCCTAGTAGCTGGGACTACAGGCGCGTGCCACCATGCCTGGCTAATTTTTTGCATTTTTAGTAGAGACGGGTTTCAGGATGGTCTCGATCTCCTGACCTCGTGATCCACCCGCCTTGGCCTCCCAAAGTGCTGGGATGACAGATGTGAGCCACCGTGCCTGGCTGAATGCACAAATCTTATGTGCACCATTTGATGACTTGACAAATGCATATACTTATCAACCCAAACCGCTATCAATATATAGGACACGAACATCACCCCAAAAAGTTCCCTCATGTAATCCCACTCCTACCCCCACCAGAGGTTAGTTTTGCCTGCACTAGAACTTCATATAAAGAGCATCATACCAATATGTACTTTGTCAAAGACTTCTTTCCCTCTCACTTGAAATCATGATTTTGAAGTTAATCCCTATTGTGTGTATCTTTAGTTGTTTCCTTTTTCTTGCTGAGTAGTATTCCATTGTATGAATATGAACGTTGTTTATGCACTCTCTAATGGACAGATAGATGTATATTTGAGTTGAATGGTCATTGCCTTCAGGATGCTTACTCTCTTAAAGTGATAGAGCAGATAAGTTGACAGATTGTACTTTCCTTTTGTTTTTGGGGATAGTAAGATCAAGATAATTCGGGTCCATACCCTAACTTACATAGATGCCTTCCTTTTCTTAAAATTAAGAAAAACTTCTTAGAGTATGGTGAGGAGAGAAATGCAGAAAAGGAGGTCAGGAAAATTGTAAGGTTACCTTCACTGGAGTGGAGGGAGAGGGTAGGAGAGGAAAGGGAGGCAGATAGAAACTGCAGCCTCGGATAGGGAGTAGGAAGGTGGTGGTATCAGAGCTGTTGGAGACTTTGGACCTGAGGCCAGGAGGTGCCAGAAAGTGCAAGGTCTACAAGAAGGCGATATAGCAGCAGTTGCATTGTAGATCTGATCCTGGACGGGAGGCTGCAGGCAGCCAGGCAGGTCTAGAGTCAGGAGAGAACGTCCACAGCCAGGCCTGACGATTATGGGGATGGTGGTGGGGAAGAGGTGCCTTGTGAGCTGTGTAGACGGTGGTGGCAGGACAGAGGTAGTGAGGGCAGGGCTGACATAGCCGCAATTCTCTGAAGGCCCCAGGGTTGGAATGAGAAGGGTGCCTTTGGCAGAAGGTTAATAACTTAACCTGTGTCCACAGGAAACTTAGATATTTAGAATTTTAGAGCCAGAAGAGATCTAGATCATACTGTAGTTCAACCTTGAGCAGAGTGACAGGCTCAAGGTTCCCCAGTGATTTTTTGGCAGATCCAGGCCTAGATACCAAATCTCCTAAAACTTCTGGCCAGCGCGCCATTCCTTGTGCTGCTGCTGTGACCATCTGCTGTCCTGACTGCCACAATGACAGTGAGGAACAAGCTTTTGCTGAGACTTTTTCAGGGACCTTTCCAGCCCAAAGATCCTAGAATTCTGGGAGCTCCTTTCCACTCATGCTACTCAGCGATCTAGTCCCTAGCAAAGAGCCAGGATTGGGTAAGCATTATAGACCGAGAATTGGGTGTCTTGGTGGGACTGCATTATAGTCAGTTGGGTTCTCTGTGGTTGGACTGAGGCCAAGATACTCTTGTTGTCCCATCCAAGTCCCCAAGGTGGATTTTTTTCTTCATTTCTCCCACAAGTGTCCCTGGAGTTATCTTCTAAACCATCCCTTTAAGATGATCCAAGCAGTGGTGGGTGAGATATAAGGTGGGCGGTAACAGCTGAAGATCCCACATCTTGGTTTATGGTAGGTCTGTGCCACACCCCATCAACATTCAGGAGGAGAGAGACTCCCCTTGTCACAGTAGAGCCCTGAAGAGAGAATGCTGGCTGTCAGGTACCCCTCCACCCCAAATCAGTTCAGACTACCTGGCCAAGGCCCCTGGCTGTGTGCCTTTTCGGCCCTAGATTTCCTGTTTTCTAACTCCCAGTTACTGTGCATGTAGCATTTAGAACCAACAAGTTCAAGGCTGGGCGTGGTGGCTCATGCCTGTAATCCCAGCACTTTGGGGGGCCGAGGCAGGCAGATCACAAGGTCAGGAGATTGAGACCATCCTGGCTAACACGGTGAAAACCCGTCTCCACTAAAAATACAGAAAATTAGCCGGGCGTGGTGGCAGGCACCTGTAGTCCCAGCTACTTGGGAGGCTGAGGCAGGAGAATGGCGTGAACCTGGTAGGCGGAGGTTGCAGTGAGCTGAGATGGCGCCACCTCTGCCTCCTGGGTTAAGTGATTCTCATGCCTCAGCCACCTGAATAGCTGGGATTACAGGCGTGCACCATCACGCCTGGCTCATTTTTGTGTTTTTAGTAGACACGAGGTTTTACTTTGTTGGCCAGGCTAGTCTCTAACTCTTAACCTCAGGTGATCCGCCCGCCTTGGCCTCCCAAAGTGCTGGGATTATAGGCATGAGTGGTCTTGAACTTCTGACCTCAAGTGATCTGCCCGCCTCAGCCTCCTAAAGTATTAGGGATTACAGGCATGAGCCACTGCACCTGGCCTTGAATTATATTTCTTATGGACAGCACTGCTCTAGAAAGGAGATGAGATGGTATGCCAGGAGCAGCACAAGTCAGGATGCTGGGCAGGGGGAAGCAATTAGCCATTGCACTAGGGCCTTTGGTAATTTCTGACCTTGATACCTTCCTGAGCATTGTACCAGGGTTGAAGGGTGGTCCCTCTCAGTAGACTGGAGATCCTGGAGGGCCCTGCTTGGTTGTGGGGGTGGGGCACACAGAGAGGAAAGGCCTGTCCAGGGCCTGGCAAGAGGCCATTACTAGAAGGGATGAGATTATAGATCCCATGTCTGAAACTCAGAGGGGTAGACTTTCAGAGAGAGAAAAAAAAGTCATTTAATTTCCAATTAGGTGACATGGCCTATTTCTTCTTCTTGTTCCCTGCTGGTTAGAACAAGAAAGAGTCTCTCAACTCTTTCCCACCAGGTTTTTATCAGTCCTGTCCTGTTAGATGTGCAGGGGGTTGAATAGGTTGGTGGGTAGGTTGCACACACCCTGGGACTGGGATTTTCTTTCAGGCTACCACAGCTTTCTTCCTAGGGCTATATTTAGGTGTTGGTCTGGGGAAAAGGATGTGAATTTTTTAGGATCCTGTTTATCCAGTGGACCCTACCCCACCCCCACCTCGCAGCTGTCTATCCTCTGTTTGGTCTGGAACTTCCCTTCCTTCTCTTGCTGCTTTACTTTGGTCACCCAGGCCCTAGAAAGAACACAGTATTTGCCACTGAATCCCAACATCACCATTTATTAACTGTATGACAACTAACATATACTTAATTTTCTGTGTCCCATTTTCCTCCTTTGTACAGTGGAAATAATGATATCTACCTTGCAGGAATGCTGTGAGGTTCAGAGGAGATAGTGCATGTAAAGTACCTGGTATTAGGCCTAGGCAGTGGTGGTCATTAAATAAATGTTGATTCCTTTGAGGTCTTCTGTTAGGCAGTGGCTAAGGGTGCTACTCTAGGGATAACAGGCTCAGGAAAGAGCCCAAAGAATGGGATGTCTGTTGCTTAAACGAATATTGTCTGTGGGAGGTGATGTTGCATTAAGTCCCTTTCTTTTTCCTTTGAGTTTGAATCTTGTTTTTTTTGAGACAGAGTCTCACTGTGTTGCCCAGGCTGGAGTAGTGTGATCATAGTTCACTGCAACCTCAACCTCCTGGGCTCAAGCAATCCTCAGATTCCCAAGTAGCTAGGACTGTGGGCATGCACCACCACGCCTGGCTAATTTTTAAAATATTTTTGTAGAAATAGGATCTCACTATGTTGTCCAGGCTGGTCTTAAACTTCTGGGCTCAATCGATCCTCTTGCTTCAGCCTCCCAAAGTGCTAGGATTACAAGCATGAGCCACCCTGCCCGGCCTGTGTTTGAATCTTAAGTCAGGTCCCAGGTTGGCTTGAAGTATTCTCTTACCAGGAAGTCAGATCTCCCACATACTACCTCCAGGTACACCTAAGCCTTGGTCTATCAAGGAGTCAAGGAAATGACAGGCTTTGGAATCCGGGCTTTTACCGCCTTATCTAAACCTCAAGTTTCCTTATTTGTAAAATGGGGTAATAATAGTAACTACCTATAGAAAGGTTGTAAGGATTAAATCAATGGAGACAATAGTGGGTAAAGCAGAGTGCCTGGCACATAGCTAGCACCCACTGAGGAGTAGCTGTATCATTTGGTTATGTCTGGACTAGAGACACACGAGGCTCTGTTCGAATAACCTTTCTCTCTCTGTATTTCTGTTTACAGCAGCAAAGTGGGGCACCAAGGCCCTGTGCTAAGCACTCATAATCCTCTGGGGGTGCTACCCCATACAAACAGCACCCCCACCATGTTTAACCTAATGAAGAAAGACAAGGACAAAGATGGCGGGCGGAAGGAGAAGAAGGAGAAGAAGGAGAAAAAGGAGCGGATGTCAGCGGCAGAGCTTCGGAGCCTGGAGGAGATGAGCCTGCGACGCGGCTTCTTCAACCTGAACCGCTCCTCCAAGCGTGAATCCAAGACGCGCCTGGAAATCTCCAACCCCATCCCTATCAAGGTGGCCAGCGGCTCTGACCTACACCTCACTGACATTGACTCCGACAGTAACCGGGGCAGCATCATCCTGGACTCGGGCCATCTAAGCACAGCCAGCTCCAGCGATGACCTCAAGGGTGAGGAGGGCAGCTTCCGTGGCTCGGTGCTGCAGCGGGCAGCCAAGTTCGGCTCACTGGCCAAGCAGAACTCACAGATGATTGTCAAGCGCTTTTCCTTCTCCCAGCGTAGCCGGGATGAGAGCGCCTCAGAAACCTCGACGCCCTCAGAGCACTCTGCCGCCCCCTCACCACAGGTGGAGGTGAGGACTCTAGAGGGACAGCTGGTGCAGCATTCTGGCCCAGGCATCCCTCGACCAGGGCACCGATCCCGAGCCCCTGAGCTAGTGACTAAAAAGTTCCCAGTCGACCTGCGCCTGCCCCCCGTGGTGCCCCTGCCCCCACCTGCCCTCCGGGAGCTGGAGCTGCAACGACGGCCCACTGGAGACTTTGGCTTCTCCCTGCGGCGCACAACCATGCTGGATCGGGGCCCTGAGGGCCAGGCCTATCGGCGGGTGGTCCACTTTGCTGAGCCTGGTGCAGGCACCAAGGACCTGGCCTTGGGGCTGGTGCCAGGAGATCGACTGGTGGAGATTAATGGGCACAATGTGGAGAACAAGTCCAGGGATGAAATTGTGGAGATGATCCGGCAGTCAGGGGACAGCGTACGGCTCAAGGTGCAGCCCATTCCAGAGCTCAGCGAACTCAGCAGGAGCTGGCTGCGGAGCGGCGAGGGACCTCGGAGGGAGCCATCCGATGTGAGTGCTTCCCTGGGCACCTGGGCTGAGCAGGGATGGGGAATGTGGGCACCTCCTGCTGTTGTGCTTGACTGGGTAATCAGGGTCCCCACGAGCTGCGATCAGAGCCCGGCAGTGTGTAAGTGGGGAAGCCGTGCTGCTTTCTGAGCTTGTGGGGAAGCATGAGCTCAGGAGAAGGTGCCCCATGCTCATTGTTCTCTGGGGGTGCCACCCCTACAAACATCACCCCCACCATGTTTAACCTAATGAAGAAAGACAAGGACATTAGAGGAGTCACACCTTTATCTCTCAACCGTGTCTGGGAGCTGAGGACAAGTCCCCAAAGGTTCACTCCGGTAGAGTTCTGAGCAGTTTGGCCCGGCCTCATGGTTTTATGGTTCCCTCCAGTGTTCTGTGTCTGTTGGATTGACCTAACTGAATTCAGCATAATGCGTTTCTCAAGGGTGATGGGCTAGACCAAACTCTGCCTGAACCTTAGTTTCAGCTCTGGAGCCCTCGAGAGAGGTCTGCTGTTGGTTAGTAATTACTGTGAAAGTATTCAGCTTCTCCATTACAAGGTTGGGTTAGGGGTTTGGGCACCATATTTCCTGAGCCCTAAATTGGGGTGTATAGGCTAACATGTGTCACTTCCAGATATAAGAGACAATCTGGACGGTAAAATACAATATTTCCATGTTATTTAGATCTTGGGGATAAAAAAGACAAATGATTTCAAATTAGGGCTGTCGTGGAGCATCTGAGATGTACAGCTGGTATGATTATATCTTTGGGAAAGATGACCTCAGGCCAGAGCCTCCTCTTGCCCCTGAGTGAGCAAGAGAATACCAGGTGAGGCTGCAGAGAGAGCAGGGGCAGATCATGGAGGACCTTATAAGTCACAGTTGGAATTCAGATTTCATCCCGGTGAAATGGGATCATCGAAGGGTTCGAAGCAGGGGAGTAACTAGATCTGATTTATAAAGGTCACTTGGGCTCCAAGAGTCTTTATTACCTCTCCTGGAAGGAGAAAAAGCATGGACCTGGAAAAGCAAGAGGGATAAAACCTGCACAGATACTATGTCCTGACTGTCCCTGAGATCCCAGCTGCCCATGCAAAAAGAGCAGCAGGAGGCACAGGAGCAGAGAGGTTTGTATCAGATGGAGGAACAGATCTCCATGGGGCATCAAGCTCACTAATCCCAGGGGTCTTTTGATAGGGTGGCTACATAGCAGTTTGAATGTCCTGCCTGGAGATAGTATACGAAGGACAAATTGACCTCTGGCCATCTTCCCCTCCCAGCTGTGGGTTTTAGGATCGTCCAGATCATGGTCCCTGCTGCCTGACCAGGATCTTTTGGTACTAAGTGACCAGCCAGATGTGTCAAAGTCAGAACTGGGAGGAAGTGCTAACAGGAGGAAACAGGCAGAGTCCCGGTCCCAGCTTTCTCCCAGGGAGGGGAAGCAGCTGCTAAGGATGGCTGCTCAACGCAGCAGCACCTTGGGCCTGAAGAGGGGCTGGCAGTAGCAGGATCAGACTGTCAGGAAGCACTGTAGTTGGGTTCCAGGCCTTCCTTTAACCCGGAGCTAGCTGGGTTTAGGCAGCTTTGCTAGTCAGGGAAGGGTAGTGAATGGGAGGAGGCCTGTGTGGAAGACCTGGATTCTTCATTCCAGAAGCACACATTGAGCACCTACTATGTTTTAACCACCAGGTTAGGTGGAACTCAGAGAACCACAAGGTAGAAGGGGAAGAGCAAGGGAGGGGTCTTTATGTCAGAAGCAAAGACTGGGCTGGGCGCAGTGGCTCATGCCTGTAATCCCAGCACTTTGGGAGGCCGAGGCGGGTGGATCACCTGAGGTCGGGAGTTTGACAGCAGCCTGACCAACCTGAAGAAACTTAGTCTCTACTAAAAATACAAAAATTAGCTGGGCATGGTGGCGCATGCCTGTAATCCCAGCTACTCGGGAGGCTGAGGTAGGAGAATCACTTGAACCTGGGAGGCGGAGGTTGTGGTAAACCGAGATCAAGCCATTGAACTCCAGCCTGGGCAATAAGAGCGAAACTCCATTTCCAAAAAAAAAAAGAAGCAAAGACTGTAACATGTTGCCATGCCTGTCTGCGTTCTTCCAGGCTAACACTGCTTTTAACAGATGGAATTTTCTTCTTAAAGAATGAATCCCCCAGGGGATTGTTGCCAGCTCCCTGCTGAACCACAGCAAGGCCTCTATGGGGCCCTGGGCCTGGCATGCTGGCATGCAAGATGCTGCTTGGTTTTCTCTTTATAGCACAGGGATCATCCTGGCATCTCACATTTCCTAGCTTTCCCTTCTAGCTGCTGCTATCCCATACTAGCTACTGCTATCCCATCCTTGGGGAAGTAGACGGTTTAGCTTTGGAGGCCCTGGTGGATTCCAGGTTACAGCTGATATCCCTGAAATGCTGGCTCACTCTAGCTCCTATGGGGTAAGCCCAGCTGGTGCCCAGAGGACTTCTTCCCCAAGCCTCAGCCTGTGTCATCTGCCAGAGGACACAGTAGCAAACCCCATCCCTATGCATCTCCTAGAGCCATGTGGCAGGATAAGGAGACGCATAGGGCTGAAAGAAGCCCGTATCTTTTCTCATCCAGGCAGGTGGTGGGGACTCATGCCACAAGCAGAGAGGAGCAGGGTGAGCCCAGCATTTCCAGCTTCCTGGGACAGGCCTGGGAGTGGTGTGGGGTACTGCAGCCTCTTCTGTACCCTCAGCCTCTATCTCCTCCTCTTCCTTTTACTCCTCCTGCTCCCTGTCTTGGCAGCAGTTCTAATCCCAGTTATGCGCCAAGAGAAGTCTTCCTGCCTCCTCCAGACTCCTGGGAGGGACACCCTGATGACTGTAGCCCCACAGGGACAGCTCTTGCTGGCCACCCTGCCATCAGGCCATCCATCAACTGTGTCTACACATTGCCTGTCCCCAGGGAGCTCTGAGGGAGCTGACTAGCCATCTGTTCTCTTCCTGCACACAGATGTGGCCAGGCCCCCGGCTCCTCTCCATGGCCTGTTTAGAAGGCCCCAGGGAGACACAGCCCCTTGAGTTTCCCTCTCACATGGTGTGTGTCCAGAATGCTGTGTTCACACCTTCATGTGTCCTGGTAGCTGCTAGATGAGGTTCTGCTGGGAGCAGGGGTGAGCCACAGTGGTAGGGTAGACTTGGGGCCTGGTAGAAATCAACCAGCAGGCCTGGGAGAACAGCGTTTTCTACTGCCATCTACCTTCCACCTACCCGTCCGTTAGGGAAGCATTTGTTGAGCACTTACTGCATACTAGGTCCTGGGCTCCAGCGGTGAGCAGCACATAATCCCAGCCCCAAGGAGCTCATAGTTAGCAGGAAAGATGGTCCAGCAGCAGACCATGACAGTACTCTCTGAGAAACTCAACCACAGGGGCCAGTCCTGGTGCTAGGAGTGCAGCAGACGGGCTTCAAGTCCAGTCTTGTGCAAGCTGACATCTGGGTAGTAGATGAGTGAAGGGGAGGCAAGAGGAAGGGAAACGCTGTCACAAACACATGCCAAAGCCTAAAGTTATGGAGAGAGAATCACACATTTCAGGAATAAGGCTGGGAGACGGTGAGTGGGAAGGGAGTATTGAGAGAAGCACTAGGAGGCATCCATGGGAGCCAGGTCACGGAGGCCCCTGTGAACCGTGCTGGGGAATGTGAACTTTAACCAAAGGGCACTGAAGCAGTTTAATCAGGGAGCAATAGGAACAGGTTTTAGGAAATTACTCTGGCTGCTTATGGAGCATGCTCTAGGGTGTAGCAAAGTTGGCTGTGGGGAGAGTGGTGAGGGAGTGATTGTGATCCTAGGAGAATGGATGGAGACCTGGACTCAGGTAGAGGCAGTGGGATGGAGGGCCATCTCAGACTTGAGCAACTGTCAGACTCTGGGGTCTTGGTGACCCACTGGTAGGGGACTGAGGGAGAGGAGGGGTCACGTGACCACCGGAGTACTGGGAAGATGCTACATTCTTTCCCCTTTGATTCCTTAGGGAAGGTTCTTGGGGGGCATCTGTATTTGGATCAGTTACTCTTAAGTTTGCTGAAGGCCAAGTGTTTCCTGAGTCTAGTGAGGTTAGGGGAGATGTTGGTAAAGTTGAGGATCTTAAAACCCCAGTTGGATCAAAATTCCCTCCTCTGCTTCCATAAGTCTGGATGGGAAAGTCAAGTCCCACTGAGAAGGGGCAGAGGCCAGGCTGGAGACTAGAGCCTGGGAGAGGAGAAGGCCAGTCTGTCTGTATCCTCAGTGGGTCCATCCTAGGGGAGTCCCTTAGGACTAGGCATGTCCTTCTGCATCTGGAAGTATGGGTCCTTTCTGCTGAGCTCAGAAAAGCCCACCCAGCTAAACCCTGGCCAACGTGGTTGTCCTGCCATGAAGAGCCAGAGGTGCTGGCCGGAAAGCAAGGCCTCCTGAGCTTTTTTTTTTTTTTCCTTTTGAGACAGGGTCTTGCTCTGTCACCCAGGTTGGAGTGCAATGGGGCAGTCTTGGCTTATAGGCTCAAGCGATCCTCCCGCCTCAGCCTCCTGAGAAGCTGGGACCATAGGCACACACCACCATACCTGGCTAATTTTTTTTTTTTTTTTTGATAATGGAGTTTCACTCTTGTTGCCCAGGCTGGAATGCAATGGCGCTATCTCGGCTCACTGCAACCTCCACCTTCCTGGTTCAAGCGATTCTCCTGCCTCAGCCTCCTGAGTAGCTGGGATTACAGGTGCCTGCCACCACGCCTAGCTAATTTTTATATTTTTAGTACAGATGGAGTTTCACCATATTGGTCAGGCTAGTCTTGAACTCCTGACCTCAGGTGATCCACCCGCCTTGGCCTCCCAAAGTGCTAGGATTACAGGCTTGAGCCACTCACTGCACCTGGCCCTCCCTGAGCTTTTGAGAATGTGGTGGGAAGGGAGAGGGGGTCTTTAAAGGAAGGCCTACCACTCCTTCCTAGCCAAGTCTAGTTGCTGTGGTAGGGGTACTTCTCCTGGTGAACTGAGA